GTCGTTGATGTGGATCCATGTATGTATCATCGTAAGAATAAATAAACAAGTAGACGCAGAAAAAATAAACTGCCAATAATATTTTGACTTATAGGAGGCATAACAATTTATTATTTACTTTTATTTGCGAAATTTTAGGCAACTGCTGTTACCTTCGTAAATGCTTGAGTATATAGGCCTATACATTATATATATATATACACACACACACACCGGTGTATATATATATAATATATATATATATATATATATATAAAACTGGAAGGCTGCATTGGCAAACAAAATAGTAAAAACAAAAAACTCCGGAGAGAAGGTAATAATTTGCCAGGTATATATTTATTTAATAGTGAGCAAACGTTTTCGGTTTTCGGTTATCAACCTTTGGCTCGCACTTTGGCACTACTCTACTTTAAACGCAAGCCACCAAAATACACAAAATGTGACAAAAACATGTAATGTACCATATTTATTTCAATAAAACACCCTGCTTTGAAGAAACTCCCCCTCGTATAAACGCTCCCTCTACAGCCTCATTTGGAATAAACACTTCTTCCACAGCCTCACTTGGAAAAAACGCTCCCTCTACAGTCTCACTTGGAATAAACGCTCCCTCTACAGCCTCACTTGGAATAAACGCTCCCTCTACAGTCTCACTTGGAATAAAAGCTTCCTCTACAGTACTATCCCTCTACAGACCATAGACATATAATAAGAATACTAGAGCGCTAACCTCAATGTATTAAATGTTCGAAATACGCAGGACTGTGTGTGTGTACCATCCAAGATGGCTGCCATAAATTTAGCCAATCAAATTTCGCTAAGCGCCATCATTTGCAATTGCGCCCTCAATTTACTCAGAAAGTTCAGTACAGCTAGTTACCCGTATGTTTGAAACTCGAGTGTTGCGGTGTTTGGGTGTAATGTACACGATTTTAATTTTCATTCCTTGGTACTTTATTTTTGAATAAGATGCTCCACTTGGCCTCGTTTTGGCTACAATAGTTCAATAATTTGTTATTACCATACTCATTATCATTAATGAAATAATAGTCAGAGGGCTTATTAATATGTAATAATATGTATACTAAGCCTGAAGGTGGCGCTTTACTACGACGGCCATCTTGGATGGTACACATACATAACTCTGCATTGCTGCGCCATCTTGTCAGCACTCTAGTTGTTTAATAGCTCTATGCTACAGCCTCATTTAAAATAAATGCTCCCTCTACAGCCTCACTTGGAATAAACACTCCCTCTACAGCCTCACTTGGAATAAACGCTCCCTCTATAGCCTCACATGGAATAAACGCTCCCTCTACAGCCTCACTTGGAATAAACGCTCCCTCTACAGTACTATCCCTCTACAGCCTCACTTGGACTAAACACTCCCTCTACAGCCACACTTGGAATAAACGCTCCCTCTATAGCCTCATTTGAAAAAAAAAACGCTCCCTCTGCAGTACTATCCCTCTACACCCTCATTTGGAATAAATGCTCCCCCCTACAGCCTCATTTGGAATAAACGCCTCACTCAAATAAACGTCCATGCCCCCTAAATTACTGTGAACAAAACTAATTGATGCAACATCATTCTGAATGAACAAATGTTCCACTCGAGTAAAATTATATTTTTTGTAACCTGGTTGGGATCAGTAAGTCTTTATGATCATAAAATAACACATTTTGATGGTAATTATGTGCTGTGAAATTAAGTGGCATACACTTGAGTATCTGCTTTACAACAACAAAATAAACACCTCCTTCGAATAAATGCCTCCCTCAACTGAAAGCCTCCCTCAAATACCCTTCTCAACAATAATAAATACGGTACTTAAAAGAAATGGTGACTGTCTTACCTGAAAGACAAGAAGTGATCCAAATAAAAATATCTTGGGTTTTAATGCCTTACTGATCCAACCTTTTCTCCAGAAATAGATGGCTGGTAATATGTACGCAATACCGATCGATCGACCCCACATCCGATGACACCATTCCATTAAAAATATGAATTTAAAATCTTTTAATGTAATGTCCTGATGAACACTATCAAAAAATGAAACAAAAATATGTCCATTAATAAAATGATTGTCTTTTTTGTTAAGGTAGTACACCACTTTGTCAGGCCTTGCCTTTGTTGTATTTCCTCCATCTTAATTTGTTTTAATTATTTATAATGATGGAAAACAAAGATTGATTGATTGAATAATGTTGTTGCATGATACAAAGGGATATAAACCTACCAGGTACTCCCTATTAGTATTAGACGACATGAATAAAGTCATACAGAAGAACAGGCACTTGTATTATAGTCTGAGTGGACTTAATTCCAATTCAGTCAGCAACGTACGACGCAGCCTGACGCAAATTGTTGTCGCGTCGGGTCTGTGTGAGCTAAACGCTGACACGATAAAATATTAAGCATGTTCAATATTCTCATGACGACCTAAAAACGCTTTCTGAGTTGGGCTTTATATGGTGTTTGCATTGCAATATTAATGTTGACCAAACACTACTTACTACTTGTATTCTGGGAACTGTTTATATCGTTCAAATTCCTTCTGCCATTCTTCTTCACTTCTTGGTGGTTTCATGCCCTTAATTAAATGCCAGTTTGTCATCGATAAACCAGACTCAGTCAACCTGTAATACACAAAAACATATTGCCATGTCAAGACTACCAAATTTTATTTAGACGAAAAACTGTTGTATGCCCATATATCAGGGGTGGGCATAAATATCGGTCGGAGGGCCAAAGTGAATTTCTGATTTAACACCGAGGGCCGCACCCAAACTTGGATCTTTCCAGTGCGCTTCTAAAAACCTCCAATCACTGCTCTTACACCACTTTATTTCCAGTTTTAATATTACTTTTTACATATGATGGTGTCAGGCTGTAAAAAAACAAGTGTTTTTTAGCCAATGTTGCTTGGCGAGCCGCACACATAAGGTTCTTATTTCATATTCGCGGGCTGCAAAAAAATCGCTGTCGGGCTGCACTTTGCCTACCTGTGCCATATATAGTCATGATGTGCCTATATATTATAGTCATGATGTGATGTCTTCATGACCATATTTAGGCATGTCATATGTTTTTATCAATTAAAATGTGATGATTTGTACAGGGCTTAATATGGTACTGCTATAGAGAACAAGAACTCAATGAAATATAAATTAGGATAAAATCAATGTTGTTTTAATTAAGGAAGCGGATATATTTACGTCGCCGCAAACAAATCAGTAAACAATATATTTACGTAAATGAAACAACGCATGCGCAGTCATACTTTAATAAACTTGCATTATCGGTCATGTAAATTTATTAGTTTATTGAACGTGGAGTTCAACTTTAAGACTCCAAATTTGCATCGGCCTTTTGCTGAGGCCCCTTTTTTGGCAAGTTAAATTTATGAATATACTGTACCATGAATCCATGGTGCACGAAAATCAAATCTTCAAACATGGACGTGTTTATTATAGTCCATAGTTAAAATACATTAACTTGACACAACAATTTTCTTGTAAAAACAAATAGTTTCTACTCTTCAAAAAGCCATTGAACAACACACGATCAAATCGACGGCAAATCAATGCAGATGGGGAATCCCTGAATTGGTTGAATGAATTTTTGTAAACAGTTTACGACTAGCGGATATGTACAGTATTTAAATTATAATTTCACCGTCTTAATTAAATTTGCTACAGTAGTAGCCTATGTATTTTAATTAAATAAAGGGAGTTGTTTCATTTACGTAAATATATCGTTTACTGATTTGTTTATGTCGACGTAAATAGATCCACTTCCTTTAATTCACCACTATGGTATTACCGAAACTTAGGTATTTCTAGTGTTGCAAATTAGCAAAATTTGGTGCAGTTTTTATTTTGCATTGTTTGAAATGATGGTGGAAACTACACAGCAGTTACCTTGATGTATGTTTGGTAATATTCTCACTAAAGTCCTACTAACACCAACGTTTAGACCACAGGTGGGCAGTGTGGACCGTGGCCATATGCAGCGTGACGGCAATCTTGTTGTAGCCCATGGAAATAAACTGAAACATGTGTCTGCAGCCCACCTAACACTTTTTAGGGGATGATTAGACAAGTAAACTTGTCGCCGTCACTGGGACAGCATTTTTTATTGTCCCTGCCATGTGCGAGTTTTCTCGTCCGCTTTTTGCATGGGTTGGTATATGTTTGTGCAATTGAGTATACTGCCGGCAAGATAACACAACAAACATAAATCTGTAATTTGTACATTATCATCTAGATGTATCTTCCCCCAACAACCAGACGTTAAGTTTGTGGTTCAACAATGTACACCAAAGGAGTAATAAATGCTAAAATGTTACCCCTATTTTGACGAATATCACCCCTAGCGCCCTCAGCAACACCTTGTGAGACGAGTATAGACCATTTTATCGGGTTTATTTTGGAACAGCGCTGCTAAAGTCTCGCAAATCACTGGGGGACTAGCAGCCAAGCCTGAGCAGCTAGCTAGTGTCAACTAGAGCGCCGCACGCACACACTGGAAATTATGTAGCGCGAAGTGCGTAGCATCTGAAGTTACCCAGTGACAGGTTATCGGAAATGTGCATTTCAAATTTTGCGAAAATGGTTTATACTCATCGCTGGAAGGCAATGTGTTAACATTTTGCTGACAGGTTTGCTTGCTTGCTGCCCTCAGTGTCAAATCTAAAATTCAGTTGGGACCCCTGACCAATTGTTATACTAGCCCCTGGTTACACCCTTTTTTAAATACTGCACAGATTGACTGTATCCTCTACAGCCTGAATATTTTTTATTTTATATTTTTGCTATTTGCAAGGGTGAAAATTTCTTAAGTAATTGTTAATAACATAATTCTGAACACTCAACAATAAATTGAAACAGTACTATTATTAATGATCCTATTTATTTACTTGAAAGAATGAGCAGTCTAGTTTTTACCTGGTAACCCCACCAAGCACCACTGCACCGGCTACCATACCACAACAACCCAACAACCACCATCCTACAATTTTTTGACCACTTGCTGAAACTGCAGCTTGAGTGGCCGTGCAACGTTTAGGTCTAACAAACCTGTTCAGTCTAGATGTTTTCTATGAAGGAAATCAGTTCAACAATATTATTACATGAGACTTACTGTCTATACAGTAACTATCAAGGCGGGCACTGCAGAGATGCGATTCTATGGAGAATGCAACACCATGATGCATGCGCAAAATTTTGAATGACTATTCGTGCATGCAACGGATCGTTTATAACGACGATCCGTTTAGACTGCCACCAACAATCAGCAGGCGGTGTCGCATCGTCTAAAGCTAGGCGTTCACTGCATTGTGCGACAGTCGCACAATGAATCCAACTTCACTCCTTCCCTGTAAATGCTACATAACGTGACGACTTCTGCTGATTGTCATGGCAGTCTGAATGGATCATCATTAAAAACGATCCGCTGCGCGCATGTCGTCACGTTGCGTTTTTCATAGAATCGTGTCGGCAACCATCAGGCCAAGCTGTAGGTCACATGAAGCTAAGTTGGATTCGTTGGCCGACGGTCATACGACTGTTGTATGATGCAGTGAGTTCCTTAACTCTTAACTCTTTGTACTCTAATTTCTTATTCTGGACTACAAGATATTTTTAATTTAATTTATATCTTAAATAAATAATTCAACACAATTGATTGTCATGTTTTCCTCTATTATTGGAATTTTCTTTATATTATATTGTTATTTATTTTTGTCATCTTTTTGATATTTTGTTATACTTTTATGCATAATTTCTCAATATTCATCAAATTTATTGTAATGAAATTTATTCACCTTCGGTTGCCAAAAATTTGGCTATACGAAATGTTTTTATGCTGAAATGAAAATGCATAGAGTGCCAATAGATTGGCCCATCATTAACACCTAAAGCCTTCAGTTGCCAAAATTTAGCTAAACAAATAATGATTTTTATACTGAAATGCAAATGCACAGTAGTGCTCAGAAACTGGCCCATCAATAATGTCTAAAGCCCTGTCCAGACTATCACGTTTTTATTTGACAAAAAACATGTAGCATGCTTTAAATATACGAGCATATATTAATTTTTTGTCATTGGCTATGTTCTCACACGGCTGCTAACGCTTAGCAACATCCGGATCCTGCTAACCGTTAGGTGCCGTGTGTCCATACGAGAAAATCCCAATCCGGATACCAAAAATATGATGATCGAATCACTGGCCAATAAGAAACTGGAAATTGTAAACGCGTACGTGTGATTGGTTGATGATAGAAACATGCTCACTTGCTAACCAATAGCACTTGCTAACCGTTAGCGGTATCCGGATGCTGCTAACGGTTAGCGCTAACCAATCGGCCGTTCTCACGCAGGTGCTAACGGTTAGCGCTAACGGTTAGCTCCCGATCCGGATACTAGGGCTCTCGTGAGAACCAGGCTAAAGAAAATTTGATAGTGTGGACAGAGCTTTAAAGATATATTTTTAATTCACCTCAAGAATCTTCAATGTGAATGGCTGTCGAACATAAGAAATTCTAGGAAACGCTGAGTAAGATCTCTGCAACACAATTGGTTTGAGTATAGATTTCAAACTCTGCAAAAAAGAAGTTGTTTTTCAAACTATTTTTATTTTATTTTTTTTATTCAGCTTTAGGCACTGGGGCCAAGGGTATGCCAAACAGTGAACTTAATCGCCTTTCAAAGTGACAATTCCATCACAAGACAACAGGGGCTGTATGGACCAGTACACCGGGGTAACCCCCTACTTAACTCGAAAGATGTACTGAGTTCTATAAAGTGCACATGAGCCAACTGTGTATACTGGGTCTACGGTTTATAGTCCTTATCCGAGAAGACTTTTGTTCCACCTCCAGAACAATAAGCCATATATTGTGGCTGTAGGTTGCGTTGCCCCTGCTTTAAACACTCGGGCAGTCGACATGCTAATTATGCAGTATTCTTTACGTAGATGAAAGTAAATTGTGTAAATACAACAAAGCATAGTTTAACAGGTTTTAAGATTTTACAGTATTTGATCATTAAGGTAGTGGCAATGACATTTAAAAAAAAAATCAATACTTAAATTGATTGAAAATCGACAAGCAAAATAAAGTTGGTACTGATGTAACCAAAGGACATTTTGCTGACTTGACAATTAAGACTGATTGAGAGAGAATCAGCCTGGGCCAATTTATAGGCCCAGAACCTACCTAGGCTAGGCCTTCATCAAGATAACTTTCATCCGCTCAAAGTGAATTCCCCTCGAATCTTCTCAAACTAGCATTCACTTGAAGTGGTATCCGCTCGAATTGACTGGTTCCCAGTGGCATACCTAGCAGGTGCGCACGCCCCTCCAAAAAATTACTCGCGCCCCTGCTCCCCAGTCACCTGTCTCTTATACACATCTAGATGTGTATAAGAGACAGTCAACAATGTACACGTTGGTACTGATGTAACCAAAGGACATTTTGCTGACTTGACAATTAAGACTGATTGAGAGAGAATCAGCCTGGGCCAATTTATAGGCCCAGAACCTACCTAGGCTAGGCCTTCATCAAGATAACTTTCATCCGCTCAAAGTGAATTCCCCTCGAATCTTCTCAAACTAGCATTCACTTGAAGTGGTATCCGCTCGAATTGACTGGTTCCCAGTGGCATACCTAGCAGGTGCGCACGCCCCTCCAAAAAATTACTCGCGCCCCTTCTCCCCAGTCACCCCTTAAAAATCACTGCAAGTAGTTAAAAACCAACTATAAAACCACCTTATTTTGAAATTTTGCGCCCCTTAACTGATCATCAAACCCCGCCCCCCACTTCACCTTTGTGCCACCCCCTAACAGCACCCCATTTCACGACATCTAGATACACCACTGCTGGTTCCCCGTAGGTACTAGAGTTCCTATTATAGAGGGTTAAGTTGCGAAATGAGAGGTTCAGTTCATGTGATTACTGGACACCCTTAACCTGTCATATTGGGGCTTATCTTCAAAATAATACCATTTTACGCACCTTAAATTTTGATCAAAATTTTATTTAACAGTATTTGAAATTGCGTAATTCATACTAACATGTAGTAGGTTCATTGCAGTAGTAAATTCGCATGTTAAGAACGATTGACACATCAGACGAATATGACTTTTAAAAAATCTAATATTTGTCGCACGTATAAGACAACCACCTGTTTGTCAATCGTAATTTGCTAGTTTAAGCCTTGTCTTATACTCGAGTATATACGGTAGTGCATTAAAATAGGCCTCAGTAAAGTAGTACTACATACGTAGTACTAGACTAGGCCTTGCTAGTGGTACTGTTTCAGTTACTGTATGACAGATTTCTCTTATATTACTAGTTATTTTGGAGATACCTTTTGACTGGAACCCAAGCTATAGGCTTGCCACCAACACCTGTTTACTATACAAGTTTCTAAGTTGTCCTGTGAAGAGGGCAAGGCCCAGTCATCTACTATTTATAGAACCGAACAACCGCAATGATATACGCCTGGCTAAGGCACTAGGTTATTTTGGTCAAGCAAAAACCAAGCCTAGGGCCCACCTGCATCCCCTACAAGTAATGTAATAAAAAATATTATTATAGTCTATTGAGAATCAATTTCTATTTAACTTTCGGTTATAAATTTCAAACAGATATTTACTAACAAATCATAATGACATAAAATTTTCTTAATAGCCATAATATTTTTATTTATTTTTTTTAATTGCCGAGCTTATTTATGTAATCGTCACTGTCTGTAGCATAGGCATTCATTCATACACAATAATAAATGGCCCCAATATATATGACGTCCCTCTAACGGCTAATATCGCAACTCTCTCTAGCCTATAGGCTATGTGAGAACTCTAGTACTACTACTACTAGTAGTGTAGGCTGTAGGTACTACCTACCTAGTCACCCTTGTAAGAGGAGGTGGAGGAGGCCTGGCCTAGCCTCTAGGCTAGGGCCTGGCTAGGCTAGGAGTCTACTTACTAGTAGGCCTGGCCTAGGGCCTAGGCCGCTCTAGGACTAGGCTACACTATATTATTAGGCCTACTACTAGGGCTAGGCTAGGCCTACCCTAGCCTAGGTCTAGATTGGATCTGATACTGTAACCTAAAGTAATTTCTAAACAAACGCACCATCCATTGTGTACTAGCTTTGCTATGAACTACGTTCGCATACAAAACACCTGGAAATTTTTTGCAAAACATCTTCTGTCAGCTCTCCCTCTCTCTCTCTCTAGGCCCATCTACAAAAACATTACAAAAACACGCGTGCAAGACGGAACCGGTGTTGCATAACAAAACGCAAACAAGTCAACATAAAGTTTATTGCGTTCCTGAACGCGTTGTTTCTAAGCCTGAGACTGCCGGTTGCCGCGCGTGTCTAAATGTTCAGACGGTTTCTGACACATTCATCTCATAATAAAAGTTTTCTTCTCCCTCCCCTGCCTGGCTAGCTGGGTTTTGAAAATTACAGGCTAGGGCCTAGATAGAGGACCGTCTATCATTCGGGAAAAAGAGTGTAACGTTAGTATGCGATGGCGTCTGCCGCAATTCGCTCAGATGAAATGGTCAAAGACTATTTAATTTTCCGTGGTTTAACGAACACATTAAGGACATTCGAGGCAGAATTGAAGGTGGATAAGGACAAGGGCTTTCGGGTAGGTGGTAAAAATTCCAGGCTCTAGGCCTAGTAGGCCTGGGGTAGGCTATGCCTAGTCAAACAACAGGCAAGGCGGTAGGTGGTAGGAGGCCTCTACTAGACCTAGCTAGGCTACAGTACATTTCTAGGCCTGGTAGGGCCTACTAACTAGCTAGGGGAGTACTACTACTACTCTACTAGGCCAAGGGAGGGTAACCTCTGCTGGTGGTTATGCTAGGCCTAGGCTAGCTAGGCTCCATATAGCCTACACCCAATAAATATCCCAGAAAGTGGTGGCTCATGCATGTACATTAGGTGGCCATGTATGGAATCAAGTGTCAATAATGTGGGATTAATTGATATTTTGAATTTTTAACAATGTGTCATGTGTATGCTATTGTCAGTGTCTGATCGATTTTATTTGAATTTTTAAAATAATTATCTTTATTTTTATTTTGGCTGAGGTTATTCGCATGGCCGGTCGTGCGTACAACTCAAATCAGTTATTCACATGACAGGCCGTGCGAATAACTTCAAAACAGTTATGTGCACGGCCTGCCGTGCGAATAAGTCTAAAACGGTTATTCGCACGGCAGTCCGTGTTTTATTCGCATGGCCGGTCATGTGAATAACTTCAAAACGTTTATTCGCACGACATGCCGTGCGAACAACTTTAAAACGGTTATTCGCAAGGCACGGCAATATTCGCGTTAGTAAAGTAAAGATGTAGCCTAAATAAAAAGTAAATATAATATATTTATTTAAGTATATAATTATTATATAGAATTTATATTTTTATATAAATATATATATATAAATGAAAATAATATTTTCAAGATATGTTAAAAATATATTTAATACATATATATTAATATATATATATATATATATATATTAATATATATATATATATAATAAATATATATATATATGTTTTATAAATAAATTAAAGAGACAGACCATTATCATCATCATCGTTGTTGTCATCATCATTATCATTATTACTACCATCATCATCACCACCATCATCATCATTGTCATTGTCATCATCATTATCCTCATTGTCATCACTACCATCATCATCATTATCATTATCATTGTCATCAGCATCGTCATCATCACTACCATCATCATCATTATAATCATTTCAACAACCTAGCTACTATCATCAAACCTCACCATCAACATCTTCACCATCATCACTGTCTCTTATACACATCTAGATGTGTATAAGAGACAGTATTAGCACGACCAGCTACCGCGCGAACAATTGTTTTGGAGTTGGCCGCATGGCAGGCTGTGCGAATAACCGTTTTGGAGTTGTTTGCACGGCTTGCGAATAACCATTTTCTTTTTTTTTTATATAGGCCTAGGCTCCAGGATAGGCCTAGGCTCCAGGATAGGCCTATCCTATATAGCTATTTTTTATATTATTAATGTTAAATGCTTTAGAAGTTGGAGTTGAGGAGGGGCACAACCTTTCCGATTATAGAACCATAGTAGTTTTTGTTCAACTTTTGCCCCTCCTCAGCCTCCCTCTTTCTTTGTCCTTGTCTTTGTTCACTTGTTTAATATTTAATCATTTTTGACTCTAGTAATTTGCAAATTATCCTCAGTGCTTTGCTTTCCAACAAATCAATATAGTTAGTAAATACTTTTTTTTATTGTAAAGAATCACTGCTAGGTAGACGGTGCATTATAAAGTGCTGTTTTTTATTATTATTATTATTATTATTATTATTATTATTATTATTATTATTATTATTATTATTATTATTATTATTATTATTATTATTGTTATTATTATTATTATTGTTGTTGTTTTACTGTTTTAAGGAATAAAAGAAAATAAATGAGGTAAAAAAAGTAGAATGATATACAGTAGGCTTAATATTTAATTAAATAATGATTTATTAAAAATAATTACAGCTTTTTCAATTTTTTTTTTTTTTTTTAATTAGGTCTGCCTAGGCCGATATTGGTGGTGGTAGGGAATAATTTTATTTTTGCCAGTTACAGTAACTGCAGCAATTTTGCATCTTTGCTTTGAGTTGATTTGTTATTGATGTTTTTGTCTGTTATTGTTTAAACACATTTGAGTATTTTTGTCCTCAGAGCAATCGCATAGTAGAGCAGTTACTAGCCTTCATAAACCTCTATGACTTGATGGGTTTGCGAAACTACTGGGATCACTTGGAAAGGAGGTTATTCAGTCGCCTAGAGTCTGCCTACAGTAGTAATGTTAAACGCCTACAGCTAAGTGTTTTGAGGTATTGAGTATAAATTATGTTTATAAACTTTTGTATGTCAAGATCAATGGCGTAACAGCTATGAGAGGCCCAGACCTTAAAGTCGGGCTCCGGAGGAAAAAAATGTTTTGATATTAATTTTTTCTAAGACACAAAACAAATATTTGACGGAAAACTTGGGAACAGTTAATGAGATACTGATTTTTGATTATTTAAAAACTGGGTGAAAAGGGTGCGTAACAATATGATAATCAATCTGAAGGATGTCACATAAGCATATACAATTATCAGTAGGTTTTGAAGCTGGGAACATACACTGCTCCTTGAAACATTTATCACACAACACCAAAATTCCAGCCAAAATGGTGTATAGTCTGCATAGACTGCAGATGGTGAAAGCTTGAATATATACTGTAAATATTTAAAAGTCAGTTAAGTGCTACCAGTGTTCCATTTTTCATTCTACAGTATGTAGTTTACCTGTATGACTCCACCTATAATTGTGCTATCAGAACATGAACACAATTTTACCAGTGGTGTTTACCAATAATCATCAAATATAATGATACTGTTTGCAATGTTAGTTTGTTCTAATTCATTCCTCAGATTGTACATAGTGAATGCAGTTCAAAATGGCAAACAGGAAAGAGTCTTAGAATTTTTTGACAAACTTTCTAATGAACTGCAGAATGCAATTGAATGGAAAGAATGGTTTAGTAAGTATTTAAAGTATGTTAATTAATTAATAATTATCATCATTATAATCTGTCTGCAATCTATTTGTTATAAAAATCTATAATCTTCATCTTACTCCTCATTATCATCTTCACCATCAACATTATTATTATTATCATAATAATCACATCGTCATCACCATTATTATCATAATCACCACCATCATCACCGTGACCATTATCATCATCATCGTTGTTGTCATCATCATTATCATTATTACTACCATCATCATCACCACCATCATCATCATTGTCATTGTCATCATCATTATCCTCATTGTCATCACTACCATCATCATCATTATCATTATCATTGTCATCAGCATCGTCATCATCACTACCATCATCATCATTATAATCATTTCAACAACCTAGCTACTATCATCAAACCTCACCATCAACATCTTCACCATCATCATCATCCTTCATCATCATCATCAACATCATCAATACCATCATCATTCTTTTCATCGGTCACCATCCTCATCGGTCATCATCGTTTGCTACTAAACAATTAATTCTTTACAGTGTTTTGAAAGTACATGTTTTCATCTAAAAAAATTATGTTTTCTCGTTTTCATTTTTATTTTTTATTTTCAGTTCTACCATTTTTAAGAAACCCAGAACAGCAACCGACTTTTGAATTATACTTCACTAAGCAGTGGCAGGAAACACTTACCATCTCACTACAAAACTTTCTGAGTGTTATATTTCAATCGATGCATATCCTTTCTTGATTATAATCATATTTAATTATTTATTGGAAAATAAAAATATAGAAAATTATTATTCTCAAAGAATTTGTCTGGCTTCTTCAATTTATTGTACTTTGGCTTACAAAAGAGAAATAAGAGATCAATAAATTTTACATTTCCTTAAATGTTGTTTACCTCTTCCTACTCTATTGAACTATGACCTAGAACAACAAAGGATGATTAAACTGCAGGAAGAGAACAGCAGACTAAGAAATCAGGTAATAAATTTATTATTTCTCAAAACACTAGCCCACATTTTTATTGTTGACAATTTTTGCTAAACTACCTTTTCAAACACTGTAGATCGGAGCAATTTTTGAATCAAGTTGATAGTTTGAAGTATGGATTGGATTGGATTTATTCGGTGTAAACGGGTAAAGGGTAGCCCACGAAAGTCTAGAAGAAGACTTATTTCCAGTGGGGTCCTTCTGGTGGTGATTGGACAGAACTCTGGAAGACAATCCTTTACTCTTTTCTTTAACATGCACATGGGCCATAAATGCACACAGGACCAACAGCTTAAATGTCTCATCCGAAAGACGGTGTGCTATTGCAACTTGTATTTCAGCCCTTGAACTGGAGACCTAGAAATCTCCACAGTTCAGCACACACACAGTGGCTACCACCTGGCTGACTGAGCTAAGTTACTCTCCTAACTAATAGTAAAAGTGAAACGGATATAAAGGTAAGAATAGCAATGGCAAGAAAAACTTTTATAGAAATGAAAAACACACTGACGAATATAAAAGTGTCAATAAGCACTAGATGAAGAACACTTGAGTGCTACATAATATCGATATTGACATATGGTTGTGAACCATGTACGATTACAAAAGACATGCAACAACAAATGAACACTGCAGAAATGTGGATCCTATTCAGAATGCTGTGGATATCATGTTTTACTTGCTACGACAACCTTAGAAAGTGTTTGCATCAGTGGCGTAATGCCTATGCGCTCTCATGTGGCGGTCTGCAGGGCCCCGAATTCTAGGGGCCCCTAACGGGCCCTACCCATAGGTTCCTCGATCTAGCACCCTGACCAAAAATGACTTTGTTGATAAATAAAGCCATAAATGTGTCTCTGAAATTGACTGTAGGGCATATATCATATATCGATTAAAGAGAGGAGGCCCTGTCGGCCCAACGGGGAACCCTTTTCCCCTCTCGGCCCGGGACCCCACCAAATTTGTCAAAAAGAAAAAAAAATTTAAATGGAGATATTAAAAAGAAAATTATATTCACAGTTTTAAGTCTGTGAGTGCCATTTCCGGCCATCTAGACGTGCCATAATAATACAATTTCTTATCTCAGCACCACAAGGGCAACAGTATAATGTGTGTCTGAAATCGACTGTAGGACATATTATATCCAGTGGTGGAATAAAGATTAGGGGTGGGGGAAGCTGCTGGCCTGGGGCACACTAAATTTGTCAAAATATTTTTTAACTGGAGAAAAAAAGAAAATTATATTCACAATTTTATGTCTGTGAAGTGCCATCTAAAGGTGCCATATTCATAAATTTGTTTACCTCAGTACCAACCATGGTGAGTCTGAGGTGGTAGATTCTCCAACTGTGAAAGTCCCTCCCTGGCCTATTCGTCTTTTATTCATCATTAAAAAAATTTAGAATAACAATGTAAATCTAAAATCTCACGATGGAATTGGTGACCGGGACCCAAAAAGGCCCCCCAGTTTCAGAAATACACAGGGCCCCCGGCCCCATCGTTAAGCCACTGGTTTGCATGAGACTGTACAGATACAGATATTGTATTTGAGTAAAATATGTAACAAAGTTTTGGAAAAAGCAAAAACAAAGAAGAAACTATTAAACAAAACAAAAAGACAGTAAACTCCAAAAAGACATTTTGAGATTTTGATCTGTTGGATTATTGTCAAGAATAGTGATGAGAAAATCTCACCCATCCATATATATTTACAATGTTTACAGAAGTATAACAGAAAGTACTGTAAATAAAAACAGACCAATCAGATTTAAAAAAAAAGGAAAATTGAAAGTGGCCAAGAAAAAAAAAACTATTAGACAACATGAAGAAACATCAAGGTTTTGGGACACGTCATGAGAAGTGAGTCGGAAAATTTGGTAACAACGAAAATTGAAGAAAAAAGTAGTTGAGGCAAATTAATAGATGGTTTGACATCCTGGATAGCAACAGAGAAGGCAATAACCACTATTCAGAGGGATAGTAACCATGTGAGATGCAGCCAAGCAGCATGGCGTAGGTGAAGAAGAAGATGGTAACGGTAATGGCTGGGTATAGCGCATATTTCTGGACAGAATTGAAAAGCGAAGTCTTGAAAGTATAAAAAAACTGAACTGAGAAATACTCTAAAACAAACAAAGGGAAACAACCAAAGAGACAAAGAGGCGACAGCAGAAGGAACCTGTGTCACCCTTCTGTTGTTCAGCGCTTCAGAAGCTTTATATAAGGGCTCGCTGGAACAGTGTCCAGGTACAGTAGTGTGTTCTATACTGTAGCTTTGGCACAACGACCCTAAATGATCGCTCACCATAAGATTTTAAACAGCTTAGTTATAGTAGAGTATAGTTGAAATAATTGTGGATTTTAAAGTTTAAAAACACAGGAAAACGTAAATGATATATATGTGTTGACAGTGGCATATCTAGGTGTGTGCAGGGGACACTAAACCTGCTCCAAAAATCAAGCTGAAGTAGTTACAAAACCACCTTAACTTACCTTATTTAGTGAGTTAGCGTCCCGCACATAATCATCGACCCCACCTGCATGACCTGCCCTCCCCAATCAACCCCCACCCCCAGCCAGTAGGTAGTCAGCGGAGAAAACAAAATAAAGGAGAGAAGTGTTGTGATAAAGAATTATAAATATTTCATCATTTTATAGAAATATATTCTAAATTTACTTGCAGCTTGCACAGAAAGAAAGGGAAAGAATCTTAGTCCCAACTGGTTCCGTTCCAACCGAGGAAATTGTGGATGATTCCTCCACTTCGAAAAGGTAAACAAGTCTTTCATTCAGTAACTGTCAATGAGGCATTGCATACAAGTGATTTTAGATCATTTACTGTTTAGTATATTTTAAATAATGTGAAACTGGGCGAGTCGGAAACACTCACTTTTCTTTACAGCAATCAGATTTGCTGTTGTGTGTCCTCCCAACTCACTCAGTTGGATGTCTTTTGTGAGTGTGTGTTTGTGATGTTTTGGCAATATAGAGAATATGATTACACAAGCTAATTCACTTAAAGACTTCACTTCGGTTTTTCTCAACCATTTGGCCGACTGGAGAAAAGCGTCGGCTTGTCGGCACCCCCTTCCCATCGAATCCTTATTATATGTTTCACACGCAGAGAGCAGCATAGCTAAATTGGAAGTGTGTGCTGAAATGTTGAGATCCTTTTAGACCTTTGGACCCTGGATCAATTCTATGACTGTTCGTTTTTCTTCCGGTCTTTGCTGGAAAGCTGAGTGCAAGTTATAGTAGCATCATCATCTTTCTAAAGATATGTTTAATCATTTGGTTCTTCATGTATTTTGCCTATGTGCATGTGAAAGAACTTGGTACTGTACATTAGAACCCCTCCTTTAGGACACCCTTATTAAGGGGACACCACTATTGAGGGGACACTTAACACCATAGCCAACCCATGAATCTGAAAAAGTGTGGAAGATTATCTGAGGGTGTACCACCCAATTCACCACCTGAAGGATCCCATTTACAGGCCTTTGTGGGTTATGCTTATTGTGATTCACACTATTAAAGAAATTCAATAAAATCCACTTTTTGTTCTTACAGTGAGAACAGCAATGTATCGAAATTAAGCAGTAGGCTTTACAAGAAGACTGCCTCACCACTGCCAATTCGAAATCCACCCTCAACCACATCAGTAAACATTGCCAAATCATTACCAATACCTTTGGCGAAGTCAACAAGTGTGAAACAGAGCTCCGGTAAGAAGGATGAAGATGTAGGCCAAGCAAAGACCAAGCGAGATGAGGGCAGTTCTCAGGGAGGTAGAGATGTACCAAAGTCCACAGCTAGACAACAATCAACCCAGGTACAATTACTATGCTATCATCAACAAAATTATCTGAGTTGAATCAGATCCCCAAGTAGCAGCAGTTACTGAAGATGCTATCCGATGGTGATTCAAGTGGAATTGAACCCACAACCTCCAAATAACCAGCTTGGCACCATAACCACTAGGCTACCAAACTTGTGCTTAGTGATTAGTGTTGAATGTCATCCCCAAGTAGCAGCGGGTACAGCAAATGCTATTTCGATGTGTGTTTGAGTCAGAAAAATATCAAAGGCCTATTTGAAGTGTTATCGTACCGAATAGTCAGTACGTTCCAAAATGCTTGCAAACGTACTAGGTATTCAGTATGATAACACATCAGGTAGGGGCAAAACATCACTCCTATGGTATTTTCCTGACATAAACTCACATCAAGTTTACAGTTTTATGAATGTTTCTAATCAGCTTATGTTGACATGAGTAGAAGTTACAGAGCTCATTCACACACATTGAGTCAAACATCTTTGCGGACAACTTGAAACTGGCAAACAATGCTGTATTGCCAGTTCAAAGTTATTTACTTTGTTTCTGTATTTTTTGTAGGTTTACCAGAAAGAGAGGCAACAATTGTTTTCTAAAGTTCCTGAACTGTCTCCAAGTAAGGACACTCAAGATAACTTGAAAGATAGTACAAAATTACAAGAGGGCTCTAGATATCAAGAAGTTGCTAAGTCTCAAGAAATTCCTAAACATCAGGAAAGCATGATAGATACACCATCAAATGAATCTAAAACAACAGGAGCTGAATCATCAGGTTTTTTTTAAATTAAAATACTTATTATTTATTTACATCTCAGCAAAAGTTCACTTATAAACATACTGTTTTCAAAGTGATTAAAACTGTTTTATTAACACTTTGACTGCCAGACCCTTTTGTCCTGTGTTACAAAACAAGTATATACATGTACAACCATACTTATTCTGAAAGTCACATCATCAAAATGGTGTGTTTAATAAATTAGCGGGAAAATATCGGAGTTTTTTTTCCCTTGGGTTGATATATGATGGCGCCCCTACCATGCAATATTTTCTACTGCCGGCAACATAACACAACAAATGTACATGCAGCATTTGCATGTTATCGTCTAGGTGTTTCTTACCGGAACTACCAGCTGTTAAGTCTGAAAAAAAAGCTTTACTTTTAGTGTGATTAATCACTGCTGTGCTTATATTCAAGACAATGTTTGTGGACCTTATTGACATTATGAGTAAATTTCCTGAAAAGGTACTGGGTTTGGTCTACACATGTTTCTGCTTCATATAAGGCTATGTGTACCTAACAGGTGTGCAACTTATTTTTTTTCTCTCTTTTTCGACAGGAACTGACATCGAAGGTAAAGTCCAATCATCTTCTGCCATTGGAAGTATGTATTATTTTTAACAAAATTTTCTTACTTTTTCTATCATAAAATATATTTTAAAAACAGATGATATCTCTTGACTGAACTGTGTACAATAGAAATAGAAATGTAGAAAAATAAAGAAAATATACTGTATTTAAAAAAAATGAAACCACATTAAATAATAAGACTACATTACAAAAAAGAATTACATTAAAATAATAAGCTAAACTTTTAGGAACCCATTGAAATTTGTTAGTGCAGTTAAAAAGCATTGCACTTTTAATCATAGGGTTGTGAGTTTGACCCATGTACCACTTTTGAACCACGCCCACTGTGCTCTCATCAGGGACACTAGGATCCCCTATCGGGGAAATTCTGGCACTACCCCGGCCCCACTAGAATACCCCGACCCCACTAGAATCTCCCAGCCGTGGCATCTGGAGAAGGAAAATAGTCACTGTAAATGAATCGATCTATAAAATATAGTAAAGAAATGTAGTGACCTGAATGATTGGTGGTGATTTTTGTTGTGATTGCATATTTCCCCAGGTCCCGCATACAGCAGTGAACAACCATTTCTTGTGCTTAGTCAGGATGAGTATATTGAACACCACTCAGCTGTCACCGTTTGCAAGTTCTCTTCATCCGTTTCCATGGTGGCAAGTGCAGACATTGATGGAGTTGTCAAGTAAGCCAGAAGAATTTTATAACTTATTAAGTACTTTGCTTAAAGGTCTGTCCAGACTATCAAATTTGTGAGGTCTCACTACAAAATGAGTCTCATCGTTAGAAAAATCAAAAAATGAGTTAATATTACATTTTGGTAGATCACACTATAAGCTTTAATTGGGTCTTTGAATGGCTTCCCTAGGATAAGTAGATCCAGAGATGTTAGCATTTAAAGTTTAGGTGTATGAGAACTAGGTTTTGAGAAAATCGGCCTCAAAGATAAACTAACCTGTACAAATAATAGGACTAGAATTACAGAATATGCAAAGAGAACACTGTTCTGGTAAGAAAATTCACTTAAAAAGTACACAATCATAAAATATAAGTATTAAGTTATTCAAAAACATTAAAATCAAAATTTTGTAAAAATGTTGCCTTTGACCTATTTTGGTGAATATCTCAATATGATTTCACCAACGATACGTCTAATTTCGTGGTGAGACCTCACATTTTATTTGACAAAAACATGTAACATTCCTAAATATAGTCATGATGATGTCACATCATGACCATATAAAGATACATCATGAAATAATAATAATAGAACAGTCTGTTTAGCTACATTTACACTAGACACGATATTACAACACAACAATGACACGATACAGATGCGCGCAGTGTTAAAGAATACTAACTATGCGATGATATGTCGTCGTTGTGTCGTTATCGTGTCTAGTGTAAATCTAGCTTTAGAAGGCTACCTAACTAAAAAAATAAAAATAATAAATATTATAAAAATTCATGTAAAAATTGAATTATTAATAATGGGTCATTATGATTATTACTAGTATATATATTTTTTTTTTTATAAACCTACTAAACTCAATCAATCATTAATATTATTATTATTGTTATTGTAGCTGTTCTGCCTCTGCTGTTTTTGTTTTTTACTGATGTGACAAATATTTTGAACGTTTAAATTTACAGAGTTTGGCGGTTTTCTCCATGCCCATCTACAGTTGCAACAATCATGTCCAAAAGTCCATTATTGTCATTGGAATGGGCTTCCAAAACAGACAGACTTGTAAGTACAACAGTATTATGCAGTGTCCTCAAGCTGGGAAGGGGACAGAGTGAGTAGATAGACTTCCCAAAACACAGCTTTTATTGCAATAATATATGGGACCAAATATATATGTTTTATTTGTTCAAGGGGGATGTAGATAGAGGTGCTTGAGACCTGTTCATTCTTTCCTTTTCGCTGCTTTTTCTGTATTCAATATTTTGTTACTTTTGCTCGTTGTGTGTGCAGTGATGGAGCTTAATAAATAAAAAAAATAAATAAATGATAAATTGTTTTAACAATCCAGGTTCATGTTTTTAGTGAAATGGGCTGAATATTAGGTTTACTACAGCCTTTTGGACCATTATCATAGTTTGATAATGAACTAATTAATAAAATAGTCAATAATATTACGTTGATTTGAATGAAAGAAAAATAAATATATTGAATTTGCAGCATTTTATGTAAAACATGAACTGTTAAATATTTCAATTGTGTTGTTATTAACAATCTGAGGTCCATTAAAACCTAGAGAGAACCACAGAGATCTCCGTGTTTGGCAGGCAGTGTTAATACATTTGCGGACTTTTTACATGTGATATTTTGATTTATATTTAGTTATTACTGGGAAGTTGTAGTGGTGCTGTTAAATTGTTTGACACAACATCAAAGCGTACATTGTGTGAAGCTGAGACTGATCCATTATATCCTAGGTTTGTAGACTCAAGATTAGAGAAGATTCAAACATTCCACTCAGCGTGCATGTGTGGATATATTCAGGCTATTAAACTTCCACAGCCAATTACGGGGGACGGAGAAAGGATATTTACATTCTCAGTAGGCATATATTCTGTGTTCCTCTCTCCATCCCCTGTTCTTGAAAACATTCTCTATCCTACCTAGGTATTGTCTTATAAAAAATAAATGATTTAGCCAAAGAAACATGTATACCTACAGTCTTGATTTCGTCTATATGTACATATAGAATTTTGCCTTCTAAGGTCGGCAATAATTGTAGAAAAAGTGTGCACATACACTTAAATAAGAATTGTAAATATGCACAAGGGTACAGGCTTTATCATTAAGGTGCTCAACACTCATTTCTGTTTCTCTGTGCTTTTTTTACTCCAGGATCCAGTCATTAACTTGTAGCCCCAATGACACTGCATTTGTTTGTTCAGCTACACAGAAGCAGACAGACTTTTCGTCTTCTGAGTTGTACATTTATCCAGAAAGCAAGCTGATGGTTTGGGATATGAAGCTTATGAAGTTACAGGTAAACATTTAATTTGTTTACCTGCAAATACCATATTTATTCAAATAAATTCCCTAAGGCATTTATTGTTGAGAAGGGTTTTTGAATGGGGTGTTTATTTCAGGGAGGCATTTATTTGGGAGGCATTTAATTTTTTTGGTGTAAAATGGATAAGTATATACTCAGATGAACGCCCCTTAATTTCACTGTAAATGTGAAACTACAACGCATAATTACTGTCAAAACGTGTTATTGCATGATCATAAAGACTTATTGATCCCAACCAGGTTAAAAAAAATGTAATTCTACTGAAGTAGACTATTAATAGAATGCGTTAAGAAAGATTTTGCTTTGCTTTCATTATTATACAGGCATTTTGGTTGTGGGGGCGGGGGGTGGGGAGGTTTATTTGAGGGATCCATAATGTTTCATTTTATGTGAATTTAGATTTAAATTTGAAGTGTACTTTATTGAATATCTCCATGATTTTAGTTGTCATTTCAATGTATATGTCACATGTGAAGTGTTGAAACTGACCACTGTTTTTTTCCTATAGAAAGAGCTCCCTCTGCTGTCCAATTCAGGCTGTATTAACTGTTGTTCGTATAACCATAACGGTCACCTTTTGATAACCGGGTTTTCAGATGGAAAGATTCGAATATTTGGTAGGAGTCTGGATTTTAGTTTTATTGTACCTAGTACTTCCTAAGGGCAGAGATTAAAAGTTTCATGTTAAAGTTGATCATTAATTTTTTCATGAAACTTTAATGGTGATGATGATGTACAGGTATATGAAATGTAATGAAGTAAACATCTTGAAAGTATGTTGAATTTATTATAGGGATCTATATGACATTTAAAATATGATTACAAGACTATGGTGATGTTGCACACACTGAGCCAATAGTTGACGGTCAGTATTTCATGGTGATCTACACAAAAATATTGTGTACTTTCTTATTTCTTAGATATGCAGCGATATGAAAGTCTTTTGAGCTGGAAAGCCCATAATGGACAAGTGTTTTCAGCACAGTTTAGCCCAGATGAGAACTCGGTATACAGTATGGGTGAAGATGGCAAAGTATGACAACACTATTATTAGGCGACACTGTTTTTATACCTTATTTAGCAAACCCGCCGCCCACCGACGCTGATAATAATGATTTCATATAAAAATAATTTTTTTTTTTTGGCCAATTAGTGCACCTGCCGCCACAAAAAAAATTAAATTTCAGAAATTAATTTTTAGGATCCAACAGCTGCCTTGAAATAAAAAAAAATGAGTGCACTACACACACTATACTACTACACTATTTACATTCACCAATAATATTACATATTTATAATCTCCTTCTTGATGTTTTTGGCAAAAACATTTACTATATAAGAAAATATTTTATTTGGTGATTTTAAAAAAAATAAGCATTCATGAAATTTGTCTTTAACTTTGTGAGCATTGAATGTTTTTGTATCCCAATTTTTACCACTAAAATAGATCCTTGTGTTTCATGGTTAATGCCTTTACCTGGAGGATTGTCTTCCAAGTTTCCTTAGCACACCCTCATTAGGAAGGGACATTACAATCAGGGGGAACAAGACCCCCATCAGGGAGAGCTGCCACTCCGCCCCCCACCCCTAAAAAAAAAAGAAAGCACAATTCATCAGGGAGAAGAAAAATTGTGTATATTCCACTTATTAGTAGACTCTAAAATCGATTAAATAAGTCTTTGAAACCTGAAAATTATCATATTTTTCTGTACCAGTTTTAAACAATTTTGAGCAACACCCAACCACGCAAATTTTGCTCTCGTCAAGGACATCACACTCATGTAAACATTTAATCAATTATAAATTGATATGTATTTTTTTTTTTCAGTTTTGCCAGTGGAGCATTCAACAAGTTGGTCAGAAAATAAATGATTTAGCAATACACAATGGCGCAACCGGCCCATTCATAGTGTCTGGCTATGGAGGTTATAAACAAGAACAAATTCCGAATGGAAAGTTATTTGCCTTTGACCCAAGTGGGAGCCATGTGATGACATGTGCATCGAATGGAGCTGTTATTTACAAGGTATGCTCAGTTCAATATCGTTGGCATCTTAAATTGTTATTTTTCGTTTAACATAAAATGACATAATAATATTGTCTTTAGTATCTAGTACCAAAGATACTGGAAATACAAGATAGAGTTCTCCACACAAAAAAAGTGTTCCACCGTGTTCCACCGAAATGCATGGTGGGAATACGAAAAATGGGACGCCCCCTACAGCTGGATCTAAAAAAACTTGTGCCAAACTTTCGTTACCAAGTCGTCGCATATTTTATTATCATGATTCTCAACAAAGATACTAGATATAAAAACAAACTGGAATAGACACCCAGACAGTGACATTGGTGAATACATAACCTCCTTCGTGGCGGTAGAAATCGTTGCTATTATCCAAATAATACACAAAACAATTAAAGCATAATCATGATTCAGTAAAGAATAAAACAACAATACAGCGCAGAATCGCATGGCCGGACGCACTCTTAGTGAAAAAGTTTTCCTCCATTAGTGGAAAAGGAAGGGCGCCTTTTGCGTCTGGATATACTTTTTTGCGTCTGGATATACTTAGCAACAGAAGGGCGCCCTGTACGTTGGGCACGAAGTATAGGAAACTTGCATGGTTAAAAAGAAGGGTGCCGCCTACGTTGGGCACGACTTCCGCCTCATTTTCACAATGCGAGAACTCTATCTTGTATTTCTAGTATCTTTGCTAGTACTGGTATAAGCAATTATATAATGTGCCTTTTTCTTGAGGTTATAAAGCGCAGTTCTTTTCCATGGTCATTGGGTCCACATGTTTTAAGTGTTGCTGCTAGTATGAATTTGGAGTACACCACGTAACTATTTAAGTGATGTTCCACATGGCCATCATGAGGCAAAACAACGCAACATATTTTTTTCTTTGATTTTTAGATAATCATTGTGGGAGTATATTAAACATTCCTGAATTACCTGTGAAAATTTCAGGTCTCAATAATGACTTGTTAATAGGAACATTTCAGCCGTCCTGTAGCAAACAGCATAACTGACATTTTTTGGAGATGGCACCACCTATCTTTAGCACAAAGCTTAAAATCTAGTGATTTTCCTCGGTAAAACAACGTAACTGTAAGATTACATGGCAAAACAACGTATCTACGATGAAGATAAGTTGTTTTGCCTCGGAATAGTATTTAAAAATTGTTTTGAGCGATTGAGTTTGGCAAGGCAAAATCAACTGGTCGATAGTGTTTTCGTATCAATAATATTAACATTGACGTATGCACAAGCTAAATATTTAAATGCATGACGGCGCCAGACATGTTTCCAAAGTAAAACAGTGTGTCTGTGAATATCAATAATAACTTTGCAGTAAACCAACATTTGTAATTAAATTTTCACATATAATCATAATGTTTATAGATATAGTCCGGCAAAATGTATTGCCAATTTGCAAACATGCAAACTTTAACTCTATTTTTCTCGAAAAGGGAAAATTTCAAGTTGTGTAATTTTGCCAAGGAACGGCCGATTCATCTTTAGGCATAAAACTTAAAATATAGTGAATTTCCATGGTAAAACAACGTAACTGAAAACTTGCAGGGCAAAGATAAAGTACGTTGTTTGGCCTCGGAATGGTATTAAAATTTTTTTTTGCTGGTGGAGTTTGCAAAAAATAAAAATCAACTAGATGGTGTTATACATATCAGCAATCTTAACAACGTTGTATGCACAAGCTAGATAATGCATAAAAATGTTTTTTTCACTATAGATAAACAGTTTAGTGTCTAATTATTGAACTGACAGTTCCTGAAACATCTGTATCTATATTTTCATTATTTCATTATATTCTATTGTGAGGTTTGCAAAAAAAAAAATTGTAAAGAAAACGATTACCCCTTCCTTATGCAAAGTGAACACTACATTATTTATGTGCAGAGCATGTGATTATTGTAAAGTTGGGGTGTAGGGAGGGGTGCTGTGTCTTTTTAATTTAGCTAATGCTGTGATAAGGACCATCTTCATTAGGTTAAATAGAGTACAGCAGTTGACTTCCATATAGTAATATAAAATAATGTATTGTGGTAAAGTCACAATTATTCTTAAAAGTGTTATCGTCATTACGAGGAGTAATATACTGTATATGTCAAAATTTAAAATTTGCATACAAGATATTGAAAAATGAATGTTTTGACTACAAATCACAATCTGAAATTCATTTTAAAACATAATAAATATATATTACAAAATTTAATAAACTACTATTGGACATCTCGTATTTAAATTAGTGGTCATGATACCCTTCAAATTACAATTTAACCTCCATTTGACCTCTATCGACCTCTATAAAATGTTGCTACAGTTTTTCAAAATTTGATCAGCCATTTGTTATGAATCTAAAGCCCTCCAGACTATAAAATCTTATTTGACAAAAACATGTGACATGCTAAATATGGTCAAATTGACATCACATCAGGACCATATATAGGCACATTATGACTATATATGGGTATACAAAAGTTTTTTTGTCAAGAACCCTTTGATAATTTGGACAGAGCTCAACATATCATGGTTTAATTTTATATATAGTAAATGAACTGCTTGTTCACCATATTTTTGACCACCATACTGCTCCACTACAATAGGGATACAATAGGGATTTTTCAATTACACGACGGCGGTAGGACGTAGAACGTAATGACGTCACTAAAAGTCACCTGCGCATGCGAAAACGTTAAGTTCTCCTTGTCGCGTGGATTCTAGGACACAATTTAGCCAAATCTACGTATGGAGAGAACGTAGGATGCCCGGTAGGACGATCACGCATGAGTGATTCCGTTCTAGCATCGTGTCGTTGAACAAATCGAAAACTCCCTAAGATTTGTAAATTCCCTCCGTTGGTGAATGTAGCTTACAGATTAATAAACTACAGTACTGTAATTCCGATAGGGACAGAGCTTTTGTGAGTTCCCAAACATCATTTTTACTATATCACTGTTGAGTTGTTTTTCAGGAGCTTTCGGTTTCATAACTTTTCCATCATCAGATGTCAAATAATGGTTCATTTTGGTAAGCTCACCTTAAATCTGACCATTAGTTGATAAATAAAATTTTGATTTTCTTTTTTTTTTTTTTCATTTTCTCTTGTAGATTGAAGAGGACAAATTTGAATCAACATTAACAATCCTGGGTCATAAAACACCAGTGGTCAGTGTAGACTGGGGAAGTACTATGAACACAGGAATGTGCTTGACTGGGTCAATGGATGGGCGTCTAAGGGTCACCATGCTGTTATCGCACTAGCGGTCAAATTCATTCCAATTAACAATTATCATGGTTACAAAAATGAGATAGTTACGGGAATAGCTAACATTTTTGCACGTCTTTTTTCAAACTAGAAGGTTTTAATTAACTTTTCAGTTGGATGTCATATGAATTTATCATGGATTTAGGAATAATTGGCAGGTATTGGCAGAAAGGTATTGGCATAGATTGTATGAGCAATGGCAACGCAATTTGTATGCATGCTACATATATTATAGCCTAGTCAGCCTAGCTGACAGTAACCACTTTATGTGTGTATGTGATTCATCACTTCTGGTTTCTGGTTTATGTTCCAGAGGGCTAGAGTACAAGTTACTGTAAATAATACCTCCATGCTATGATGCAAAGTGTATGGTGACAATAGTATCATATCCTAAATCATGTTGGAAAATCCAGGACAGTGGTGGCGGCAGGGGGGAATTTGCCCCGTCAGATAGGCCTGGACCACCCTGTCGTCCGACGCAACAGTTAGGTTGGATCAAAAGTTAAAAAAATAATAATTTGCCTATCCAATTAACGTTATTCTTGTTGCCAATCCCTAATAATATGTTCTAAAATAAGCACAATTTGGACCATACAAAGCCATACAAATTATTCCCGTGCACCCTAACAGGCATTTTTTACATCAGCCAAGGCTCTAGTCGCCCCCTTGGTTTGGACCCCTCCGTTGCCATATCAGACCTCTCGTCGGAAAATTTTTGGAGCCACTGCTGATCCGAGATAGCCTATGATTTGTGTAAATTTACAAGGTCACCATGCTTCTGAGCAAACAGTAAGTCGTGGAAGCCTCCCGGAAACCAGGACGGCCTCCTGAACTTCCGCAAGCAAGCAAGAACCTGCTGGAAAATAACCTGTCCACCACAAATTTGTATTAATACTTTAATATTTTTACTACTTTATCATTAATTATGTCGATGCCATTTATATCACCATGCGCTGCAAAATAAGAAACAAGAAAGCTCATTCAACTAGATCTCCCGGAAGAGACTTCATCCAAAACCTGCATAGTTACCAACCAAAGCCAACCACGCACTTAGTATAATCTAGTAGTCGCATGCGGTCTTGCGCGGGCTGCAACCCGGGCCCCTACTGAGGTTCCACTTGGGAGCCCTGGAGGCCCCGCCCCCTTACCCCACCCAACTGGTATAGTCACGCATTTAAAATCTGTCAACTATGAGTTTGAACCCCTACAAAAACAGCTAAACTCATGTCTAGTGGACAAAACATAGATAATTGTGGATTGAGTTTTAAGTAGTGGATCATAAAGCCATTTACAGTTTAGGCGAGACTTTTTTTTATACCTTGTTTAACGAACCCTCCGACTGTCAGTTAGCGCATACTCTGCCACGAAAAAATGGAAGCTTCATTAAAAACATAAATTTATACTTTTTTTTATTATGTCTTTCGCTCCTCTGAAGTCTTGAAAAATAAGATATATATTTCATACTTAATTATATAAAGTTAAAGCATTTATCCATCTCATTACTACTCTTGTTAAAATTAAATTTTTATTTTCTCTTCCACCTAAATGGTTTTGGCAAAATCATTTTGCTAAAATGAGGAAACAACATTTTATTTAATTTTTTTTTTCATCCCTCCTCTGACTAACTTAAAAATAAAGAAAAGTTCGCGAAAAAAGGTATAATAAAAGTCTCGCCTTATAGGTTATATCTCAATGCCAAACCATAACTAACAAGCTTGTTAATCAACTGTTTAGATTCTTAATGAAAAAAATATATATATTGCAGTGTTAAAGAATAGTATATAATATGCTAAACTTTATTATTTCAAATAATGTATGGTATGCAATGATGCTGTAAGCACCATTCATACATAATCAAAATTGTTGTATTGTTATTAAAACATGTTTCAGTTTTCTAAATTGAATATTTTGTTTATTTTTAAAATTCTATCAAAATTTAGAATATTTTTATATAACTTAGCATAATTTTATGTATTTATGTCTGTTTATTTTGCTGCCGGTAATGTATTATTTAAAATGGAATTTAATATACTTTTTTGTATATACATATATTTTATGTCAGATTATGCAAAATGTAACTATGTCAAGTGTCGAAAGAAAAGTGTATTGAAGCATTTATTCTGCTTTCAAAGAATTTATCATTCAAAAATTTGCTGTGACAGATGGTCATGTGCAAGAATAAAATACAGGTAGTTGGTGATCAACTATTTTGCTGTACACTATGTGATGTTATACAGTAGTTTATAAAAGGTTTCAAGTTGCTGGTCATTGGAAAGGCTTCGCCATTAAAGATAAAAACAATAGGCAAGCATGAATACGGAGCAGTCTGAAGAACTACGCAAGTGAAATGAAATCACACAAATGATCGCAAATGAAGGGGAATTACCCTAACGAAAACCCAAATGAATTGAAACCACCCAAATGAAAGGAATTTACCCATACCCAAATGAAAGAAAATTACCCATACCCAAATTAAAGGAAATTACCCATCCATACAGAGGAGCTTTCCCGTTTTTAATATAAAAGGGAATTAGCAAAATTATTGTTTGTTCTAAAGGGGATTTTTGATATGCCATTGATAATAGAATCAACATCAAAATCGTTTTTTTTTTTGGCAATTTTATTTAATGAAGTTATAGGCCATTATATACGATTTTGCCGTGACGTCACTTGTGGAAAAAGTAACAAAAATCGTAAATATCGTGTAGGGTATCCGCCGAGTACGTTCTTTGCGTGCATGCTGTAACCATGGCTGTAACTATTTTGTTGACAACTACTCTTTTAATGTGTGTGAATTAGATGATCCATATAAACATGCAATTCGTGTAGTTACTGGTTTTGGTTTGTATTGTGGAGTATACTATTTTTTGGGCTTCATCATAAAAAAAATAAGTCTTATAAACAGAAATAAAAGTTAAGGAAAAATAAAAGATAAGATACTGAATGATGATGTTCACCTCGTATTTATTAGGCCTACTCTATAAATATAATACTGAAAGGTTAACTGTACCATATCACCATCTCTAAACGTTCGATGACACGCATTATATTTTCATGTGTTTTTCAAACCAGCAAAAGATTACAAATATATATGTTATATCCTACTCTACCATTTGTGTAATTCTGACTTTGGTTGATATTTTGCTTAAAGCTGACTTCACATTGTAAATAACGTCACCAGTAGCCGTGTTAACAGTAATGTGTATTGCCTTTATGTTATAAATATTTCCAAATTGGTCCAATATTATCCATGTGTTAATTGGCGGTAAAAGGGAAATTAAATGAGTAGGCCTATACAAAATGATATGTAAATACTGTATAGGTCTATTTTAATATAAACCGTATGGACATGACAACTACGCACCCAGCACGTAAAAACAATAGGAATCTTTAATATTTCGTTGCATACATATCAACCGTATCATGATATACCTTAGTAAGTTTGCTCTTACCCTGTATTGATTTGCTACCTTGGTTCCGGGGTCAGTGGTTGCAGAAGCCAATCAAGTGGGAGAGGGGAAGTGAACAGGCAGGGGAAAGAAAGTACTGTATATCAGGGGAAACAATTGCGTGACGTAAAACTTTTTGAACTTTCTTTTAGTTTTCACATAATGTGTGTATCCTATAACTAAGGTCTAATCCACATAATTGATAAGCATTGATAATACAGGCCTATAGATAGTAGCAGTAGTAGTAAGGCTTATAATAATAATATAAATGATGATAGTGGTTATTGTTGTAATCGTGGTCGTCATTGCTGTTGTAATTATTAATAACCCGGTTATCAAACTGATTTCTAAACTATGGTGATTCAATACAATCTAGAAATCCACAGAAATGTATACATCAAACATATGGTTTATATTACATTTTATTCAAGGCTTATTTATTATTCAACTCAATGAGTATAATAATAATAATAATAATAATAATAATAATAATAATAATAATAATAAAAGCAGGGGCAACAGTAATTATTATTATTATTAATATAATCTTATTAACAGACAATAGTGATTTAACTTCTAGATTCCACTGAAGTCTATGCATCAACAAACATACTGTTTATATTCAATATGTATTCAAGGCATTATTATTTTAACTCAAAAACATATGTTTAAAAAGAATTCTAACAGAGTTTGCTCTCTACATTTGTCATACCAGTTAAATTTTGTCATGCAAAATCGTCAGTAAAAGTTGCTGGTTGAAGAATTTCACATTGTCTGGATGCATTAGATTTGGCTGAGCACACGCAATACTGAAGGAAGCAGACCTATTCAACGAGAAGGCTCCGACTTTGTGATAGTTTCTTAGGCCTGGTATACATCAAAAGTCACTAAAGAGTACCACCCAGACAAGATGAAATTAGCAATAATGTTGCTGTGTATAGGTCTACAACTTGCGAATTCACGGCTTGCTCCACTCTATTCCAGCTCCCGTGGGGTACAAAATCGCTATATTGTTAAGCTACAGGTAGGTATTGTTACTTTTATGTTCATTTTTAATAATTTAAGTAATAGAAAACTATTATAGCATTTAGCGTACGTATACGTCTTTCCAAAAACAAATCCCCTAGGCGTTCCCCCTTCCTCCATTTAGGTAACAATTATCATGAAAATAAATTAAAAAAATGTTCACATACGTGAAATATTATTTTTTTAGTAGTAGTACCAGTGTTAGCTTGCATAACTGTTATGTTTAAAATACGTGATATCTTAAACCAGGGTCACGACAGTACCGCCTATTTGGTTGGAGCAGTAAGAACACCCTCTTTTGATAAGAGATGTATTTGGCCGTCTGCAAAGATGACCAGTGCATCGAATATACAGTACTTAGATACTCAAGCGCTGACGAAGGTAACAGGAGTTGCCGAAAATTTCGCTAATAAATATTTCTATGTCTCCTACATATCAAAGTATCGTAGCAGTTTATTGTGTCTGCGTCTACTATATTATTTATCATATATATATATATATATATATATATATATATATATATATATATATTTCTATATATATATTTTTGTATATGTGTGTGTGGCGTGTGTTTGTCTATATGCCTCGTTCTTCATGTGGTTTTCAATTTGTATAAAACAGGATGATGTTGATGTTGACATATTTGCAAATAATATTAAGACAATGATGGCAACATTGAAGTATGACTGCTACATCTCATTAAAATACAACCGGGTTCTGAAAGGCTTCCTTGTTGATTTGAACCTCAGTTCTCTACGGATGGTGAGTACAGATGGCATTTGCCAGCAAAAGATACTGGTACTACAGGTTACTCTAAATTTTACGAAGCCATTGATTCTCGCATTGTTTTTCAGTGAATATTTTTCCACGTATTGGCCTACCTTACCTCAGATGGAAATGTGATACAAATACAAATAAAAAATACAATACCCTTTGTAATTCTAAATCACAATTACAGATTAATACAAAACAAAAATACAAATTAAAGTTATACAAATTTCACAATAGTAATCCTGGATAAAACAAATAAAATAAATGTAAAAAAAAAACATTAAAAATATTACAAAACTAAAATTGATGTTTAAACTCAACAAATGCAAGTATAGCTAATGCGTTTTATATATAAACTATATTTCGCAATTAAATGCATATCATAAAATATAATTATTTTCAAAAAATTATAAAAATACTGTGTCATATTTGTTGTTGTGGCCGTGAGACAATAAACGACTCTATAGAATGTAATAAAACTCAACTTTGTCCTGTCTCTGCCTCACATGTCTGTGTGGCGGTGCATATAATTATAATGATCGTGCGCGTGATGCATTCCTATGCAACAATATCAAACCAGTTGACATAGGCCGCCTACATTTTAGAATTTAAAATCAACTTGTTATAAACAGTCTTCACAATCAGATTTTTGGGCACTTTAATACGTAACATAAATCTATTAACAAATTTAGGCATTAAGTCACCAAAACTAGGAAGGTTAACAACAAAAAAATAATAAAAAATTAAAAAAATTTTTTTTAAAAATGATAACCCATCAAAACGTCTCAAATGTTATTTTTGGGCGTCTAGAACACAAAAATAATTATAACAATTAAACCTTCGAAGAATCGACAGTTTTTTTATATATTTTTGTTGTTGTTGTTGTTGCATAGTAACACTTTTTGGCATTATAATTAACATCATGTTCTTCTGCAAACAATTCACACTCATCGATAAAAGCTTAGGCCTACAGACCAATAACAGAAGGACGTACAGGTAAAATGATATCATCCGCATAACATGTATTCACAGCCGCGGCTACGGGGCGCCGTATTGAACGAATGTCCCAAACGGCGCCCCGTACGTGACCGCTATCCAATGTGATCGGTATGGTTGCTCTTCATGATATAAATAGGAAAAATAGAGACCAAACTCGTAAGAAAAATAACATCCATTCCTGAAAATGAAAATAAAAGAATTCAATTCCAATTTCTAAAAAAAAAAAAAAGGGGGGGAAAAAAAGGGGGGGGGGAAACCCCCTTATATTATTCTTCTATAGCCAATTAGGCATAATTGATTAATTTATTATCCTCATGTCGCGTCATTTGCTTAGTAACATATTATTTAAATAAAACATTTCTCTAGGTGAGAGAATTGCATCTAGTGGCTTTTGTCGAGTCAGACAGTTACATAAAGACATCGGATGTTGCGTCTTGGGGATTAGATCGCATTGACCAACGCTATCTACCATTGGATAATACATATGACGTTTCAGGTATACAACTTGTTCTCAATATTTTATACATACTTTTTAAATATACAGTAATAATTCAATGTCTTCTTATGATATTCTTGCTATATTTAAATATATTATTGTATATATTAGTGCTTTTACTATTTGAATTTTAATTGTAAACTTGTAGCAATTCAGTTTAAATAAACCTTTTGAATAAATACATGAATTTTGAATAATCGCAATTACATTTATAGTATACTAGCTGTCTCTTATACACATCTAGATGTGTATAAGAGACAGCATTATGTATATATGTTATATGTATATATAACTGTAGAAAATGCTTACAAGATAAGTAATGTAATTAAAAATATCAGAAATAAGTAAATAATGGAATCTCTTGTCTTAGTTTTATTTAAAGATATCGTAGTAGTTCTTAATATCTCTATTAACAGAGGTATCTCAGATTTTTACAAATATATTTCTATTGGGAGTGGAGTTGAATCATTTGGTGGTTAAAATGCTTGCCTTCCAATCCCAGGGTCCTGGGTTCAATCCCTGTCAGTGTGGTAGGATGTTTCTCACGGCCAAAACAACTCCACTTCCTAAACCTCATATTAAGATATACATGTATGCATCTCTTTAAATAGAGGTTATGGTGTGTTAGTTAAAAACTAAAATATTTCTATGTAAGAAGTAACTTCATGACATGGCATCTAAGATATCTTTATTAAAACTAAAGGTCTCCGTCTAATCAAAGATCATTGGTGCCGGGGTTTCCTAGGTCTTTAGCAGGTTTGGTCTATAATGTTAGAATAATAAAGATAAAAAACATTCGTGAATTTTTAACCACAGAAATGAGTTTTTAATTGGAGTTGGCCTTTAATTGAAAGGGGGTCTTTAATTAGAGGGAGACCTTTATTTTTACATGATTGCATATCAGTTCGGATCGCCTTGTAATATTTTTAGATATTTTTCAATTGTTATAATCAGGGTATAGACTGCAATGGGCATGGTACACACTGCGCAGGAATAGCTGCTGGCAAGGAGTATGGCGTAGCAAAAGGCGTGAACGTCCACAGTGTACGTGTATTAGATTGCAATGGAGTCGGATGGACATCTAATGTCATTCAAGGTCAGTCTTTATCTTTTATTTTTAAAAAAAGTAATTACAGGTCACACTCCAATTATAGACCCCTCCCAATAAAGACAATTTTCTGTGGTCCCGGTTGAATACATGCCGGTATCTTTTTTCAGTAGCTGTTTCCTCCAGTTAACGACTCCTCTTAGAGACCATTTTATAATTTCTATCTAAATAGAGAAATCAAAAATTACATTTAGTGCCGTTAAAAGACCTACATCGAAAATGTTTTGTGTATACATTGCTGAATACCGATACTATTAGTAGGACGAAGAGCGTATAGTAGGCCTAATCCATTCTAAAAAAAACTTTTAATTACAACATTCAAACATAATGTACCATATCATGTTTTTTTAGCAGACCCAACTGAAAATGTTCCTTTAAAATAAGTAATATATAAAAATATAGTGATGCAGTTAAAAAATGATGATATGACTATATACATCAAAATAATACACATATTATATATTAAATATATATACCGTATATAATATATAATATAATATATATACATATATATATATATACATACATACATACATACATACATACATACATACACCCACACCAACATACACACATACATACACACCCACCTACATACGCGCATACACACACATATACGAACACACATACGTACATACACACATATGTTTTTATGCTTCCTAGCACTGGGAATACAAATAATGTATAAATCTATTTGATTTATACATTATTTGATTTATACAAATAATGTATAAATCAAATAGATAATAATACAGTGCTCAAATATAGAGGAACATGATCTTGTGAATTGTTCATAGTTCATCAACAAAAATTGCTTACTAGTTGTATGAAAAAGATGTCTCTGGTAGGAATCGAACTCGATTTCTTTCGCTATATCGGCGGAAGACCACAGAGAAAGGCCATTAGACCACAGAGACCCGTACAATATCAGTACGGATCCAAAACCAATTGTTTCTCTCCCTTTATACCATTTAGGAGCTCACACATAGCGGAGGGTGCTTTATTTTTAGCTACTGTACGTACCTAGTTTATAGTTAGCAGCGGGTAAATCATAGGAAATAATATTCAAATATATATATATATATATATATATATATATATATATATATAT